CAAGCCTGCTGGACCATCTGGAGAGCATCTGGACACAGCATCTGAGACAGTTGTCCAGGAACTGTTGGGCTGGCCAAGTCATCCCATGTTGGTGGGAGGCAGGGATGATGTAGAAACTCTGGTGAGGGCTTATGAGTTTTTGGCACTGAATAAAGAAGGGAGAGGCATTAGCAATGGGAAGTGGGTGGGTGTCCGTCAGGGCTTTGCCTTGGTGAGTAGGTCTCGTAAGGCATGTAGCCAAGCAGTATGTTAGCTTTGAAGGGGACAAGCCTGAGGAAGGTAAGACAATTGAGGCTCAGCTAGTTTGGCATCCCACTGCATCTATTTGCCATTAGCACAGGGTCATTTCAGGGTGTATTTACCCTGAAATCAAAGGTGCGCTTGCAGGACTTGCAGACACGCCTGACCTACCTCTACCTTTCACAGCTCAGAAATGTGCAGGGCAGAAAGAGGGATTCCAGCCAGAACCAGCCTCTGATGCACCTATTCAGCTCCTTGCTGGCATAGTAAGTTTCTGCAACCTATGGCTACACTGCCCTTGGACCTGAGCTAGTTACACTCATGCTACCTTGGGTATGTCTAGACACGTTTCACACCACTAGCTGCAGTGGAGCGTCACCTGTTTGAAACCACCAAAGTTTGTATTTAAAAACTCCGCCCACATCCCCTTTACTTAGCATCAGGTCATTTACATATTCTGTCTCCTCTTTTGCATACCCACCCATGGGCAATGAGCCCTTACTCAGCTGTTGTACACATAAATGTTTGCATTGCTGCTCCATGCTCCACTGAGTAGCATTTCCAGCTTTGACACAAGCAAGATGATCTCAAAGATCCTCCTCTTCTGGCTCCTGGGTTTCTGCACTGAGGGTAAGAAAGAGCCCAGTGCAAACAATGATGATGAGAAATGGAAGATGCCCTAGCAGAGCAGCACTAGGTTATTTCTCTGTCTGATCATTTCCTATGTTCTCTGTGCTGGAATTTCAACTCAAAGCTTCCATCAATGTTAATATGATTCTCCAGCCATCCAATCCCTTATTTTTTTTTCTTTTTCTCTCCAGGGGCCCAGGGGCAGATTGTGGTGACTCAGTCTCCAGAGTCTGTTGCTGTATCTGTGGGAGAGACTGTCACTATTCAATGCACATCCAGCAGAAGCATCGGCACAGAAATGAGCTGGTACCAGCAGAAACCTAGACAAGCTCCCAAGCTCCTGATCAACAGTGGCAGCCGTTACACTGGCATCCCTGACCGGTTCAGACCCAGTGGGTCTGGCACTGACTTCACTCTCATGATCAGTGGGGTTGTAGCTGAGGATGCTGGAGATTATTACTGTCAGCAGGATTACACTACACCTCTCACAGTGATACAGCCCAGTACAAAAACCTCCCTGCTTTCTGAAGCATGCCATGTTGCAGACCCGGGTACACACAAGTGGAACAAGGGTTGAGGCCCAGCTCCACCTCCCCCATTAGCTAGGTTAGTAGCATATACATGGTTATTGTCAACAGTCTATGTGGCTGTAACATCTTCCAAAGGGATTTGCTCAGGTCACTTGTGCTCCATTTTATGCTGCCCATGAAAGGACATGGCTCCATATACATCCCCAAATATTTATTGGCAGGAAAATAATGAGTTGCACATCTTTAGAGGAGACAGTCTGCCCCCCTGTAAGCCCACTAGCCTGCCCCCAAGCCTACTTATCTTTCTTATCCAACTGCTGTTTCATTTAAATGAAGATGCACTTTTAAGGGCAGGAGCAGAGACAGGAACCAGGACTCTGGACATCATCCGTGTCATGGCAGTACCCATGTCACTGAGTTACAAAGCCTTTGGGTTCCTCTCTGTCTGGACTCATCTTATCTTATTGCCTTTCCTCTGCAGTTGACCACCATCAGCAGAAAGGGTGAAACACCCCTGGTCTGCTGAGCCCATGGTTGAACAAGGCCCTAGTAAGTAGGAGATGCAAGTTCAACCCCCCTCTGATCTCTGAAGGGGAGACTTCTGGGTCTCACTACTCCTTTGGAAGTGCCCTGACCACAGATACATTAAGCTAAAAGGTGGGAGGCTCCTCCTCTTTCAAATACTTGCTCATTCTGTGACAAATGGTTCAAGGACTTGCACAGTGTAGTAGGAACCCAATAGATCATAAATGGTGGATCCCTCCTGAGCACACTGCAATGAACAAAGTGCAGTGTGTGAGAGATATTTATCTACATGCAACTCCTCTTTTGCATATCCCCATCCCCACTTCATTGCCTTGTTTGTGGAGCAATCATAGATGTTCCAGTTTAATGCTGTATCTAAGCTCAGGATCTACCAGTTCAGAACCAGCAGGGTGATCTCACACTCTCAGCTCTTCTGTCTTCTTATTTTCTGGATTCAGGGTAAGAGCAAAAGGGAAAGTTTAGACAAAAACAATAACTGACTACCAAGATCTAGTTGTGGCCCATATCCTAAAGCTTCAGAGAAGCATTCATCAAGGGAAAAAATATTCTTTACTTCCCCCTGCTGGCAACCAGGAAAAACCCTGCACACTGGATGATCAGAAATCTTCCATGCTATAAAGAGTAACCCCTGCACCCCGAGTGGGATTCCCTGTTTGAGTACAGCCTTCCTTCCCGGGACATCTTCAGTTCACTCTGAAAGTGATTCCTTGACCCAAACGTTTGGCTTAGGAGACCATCCAAGGGACTCACTCCTCCTGCGATTTGAAGTCTTCTTCTCAGCTCCAATCCACATTTATCCCTGGCCAGCTCTTAGTCATGTGACCTTGTGCCTATGTGATGGAATGGCCTAAAAAACCTTTTCTCCTTTCCTAATGCTCACCCCATGACTGTACTTGGCAAGGGGATCATATCCCTTCCCCTCCTGCTTTGTTAAATTAAACAAACCAAAATCTTCTTTCACAAGACAAGTGCTCTGTTTCCTTAATCATTGCAGTGACTTTTCTTTGAACCAATCCTAATTTAATTTCTATTTAATAGGCCTCCTGGTCTCTACTAAATATACCCTGCTTCAGGCACCCAATGATTACTATCCTTTTTCATAGCTATGTCTCAACAAGGGTTTGTGGACATCCTAGAGTCATCCAGTACATCCAAGCCTCTCTCATCCTCAGCTGTCTCAGGTACTTCTGCTGCATATCTTAGCTTCAGTCCTTCTTACTGGTACCCAGTCATATGATTTTGCCCCTCATACTGTTAAACTTCATGTTGTTGCTAATGCTCCTTTTGCTAAAATGATCTCATTCTTCCTGCAGAATAATCCAGCCCCTGCCCAGCAGGGCAACACCCCGCAGCTTAAGTCACATGCATAAATGTCATGAGGACATATCCAGTTCCAGTACCAAAGACTGCTCAAAATGCTAAACTAGTGGTGTCAACCTTTGACGGGCCAGATGAGGCCAGTAAGCCATGTCATTGGGGCCACAGCCACTGGGGAGAAAACATGGGGTACCTCCACATCCTTCCCCTTCTAGGACTTATGCTCAGATAACCACATCTGAGTGTGGCCAGAGCATGGCCTTCTGTGCACTTAGTTGATGTGCACTGGTTTACTACTCCACAGTGTAAAGATGGGGCCAACACAGCCAGGTACATGGCTAGAAAAGTGAAAGGGACACTCACAGGGAAATCGAGTTCTGCCTTTTCTAACTCTCATCAGCTTAGATGAGAGAGGCAGATCTCACTCAAGAAAAATAATAACTTGAATGACAAAGCAGTAGAACAACAAGTATCAGCAACTTCTCTGGTATTTTAAACCTTGCTTTAATTTTTTTAGTATCCTCTTAATCTGGACCTACTCCCACAAGCCATGCTCACTGCTTTTTACATTGGAAATTTTCTACATAACTTGTGAAAAAATATAACCGTATCCTGTTATTAACAGCAGAAGGCACCGTGTGGTTATGGATGCTGTTAGACAGCTAAAAAGGTAGTTTGTTGTGTTAGTGTGAAATCAGGCAGAAAGCCGAGAGGGAAAAAAAAATGTTAAACCTGCCTAAAATAGAGATGCATAAACTCTTGGAAGCATGAGCTCACTCTTGCAGTGGCTGTGAAAGGCCATGCACAGAGCACTCTATCATACAGAAACAGTGATTTGAACACAAAAGACGGGATCAGGGTTTGAGGCAAATGGGACAGTTCAGGCAGAAGCAAACAAGTAATAAGCCCATAGGCCAAGCTGTTACAAAAGCTTATCCAGGCAATGGGATACTGATCCATAGTCCCTGCGTAGACCATATGTAACACAATCCCATCTATGGATGATTTCTTGTTCCACAATTTTGCATTCAAGTTTCGTTTATCAAGTTCTGTTGTTTGAGTAGATGATTGGAAGTCAGCAATGAAATGTCCAGGCAGGTAGCAAGGAGAGACTAAGAGGTAGCTTGATTTGAGAGCATAAGCACCTTCCAAGGAGAATATACTGAATATTTGCAGAGAAAATGTACCACAAGACCTAATGGCTAGAAGCTGAGGCCAGACAAAGTCAAATTGGAATCAAGACACAAACTTTGAAGGAGGAGGATTAAACAAGAGGACAAACCATCAAGGGAAGTTATGGAGTCTCCCTCTTTTGATGTCTTCAGAGCAAGTCCAGTTACCATTAGAGTGCTCCATGTCAATGCTAATTCTCCTTTCAGGTAACTAAGTATTTGGTTTGGTGCAGACCTAGCAGAGATGATCTGCAACCTGAGACACGAGGAGGGGTGGTTGCATTGATGTGCTGCTTTGCAAAGGGACCACCTAGTGTCCCCACTTGGTCCTGGACAACTAAAAAGACCTCATCTGGCTCTAAGGAGGAGAGCTCTCCAAGACAGTGCTTTTTACCCCTTCCTCCCTCCACATCCTCACAGCACCCTGGGCCCTGGGTTTTCCTCACTGGCAACAGTACTAATGTGTAAACTGTGTCCTCCAATGAAATTACATGCTTCAATCATTCAATCTGTAACATGAAGGTGTCTGTACCAGGGTACCACATTAGCAAATGTGACGTTCAATGCCCATCTCAAAGCACAGGAGTATTAAACTGCTGGAGAGAGCAAATCTTCTGACCTGTTCTTGTTGACGGGTACGGCTGTCACCTATAATAGTTTCCTGTTCATGTCCTGCATCTGTTTCCTCTTGATAACACAGGCATGAAGAAGACTGAAACCTCCAGGACAATTTAGCCTAGCCTGGTATTTGCATATCTTTCCATACGTGATGGTTACAAATGGCTTCTGAGTAGTTATAAACTTCTGCTGCACTTTTATCATACCTGGAAGTACAACACGTCAAGAAGCACCATGATGTTACAGGTGTATTTCATCTGGCTCCTCTTCTCCATGGTGGAAGGTAGGTTATGCAGGCATCTTATGAACTGAACTCGAAGGCAGTTCTCTAAAAAAAATCAGATTCAGTTTCAGGTTTTCCTCTCTCCCCTTCCTAGAATCCACTGGGGACATCGTTATAACACAGACACCAGCTTCTGTGACAGTGCTTCCAGGAGAGATGGTCACCATTCAGTGCAAGGCCTCCAGCTCCATGAGTGATGATATGGCTTTGCTGCTGTTCAAATCTGGACAAACTCCCAAGCTCCTCATTGCTGATGGAAACAGCCGTTTCACTGGGGTCCCCGACCAGTTCAGTGGCAGCTATAGTGGCACAGACTTCACCTTCACCATCCGCGGGGTGCAGGTGGAAGATGCTGGCGACTACTACTGTGGGCAGGACAACAGCCGCCCTCCCACAGTGATACACTGCAGTACAAAAACCTCCTCAGTGCCACAGCATCTGCTGTGTGAAGCAGAAGGAAGCAGGGGAGGCTGCTTCTGACACAGCTGATCTGGAAAATAATGAATGTTTTAGAGAAACATTCTTTATTGGGGTTATTATTATTCTTTATTGTTTTAGAGAAACATTATTGGGGTCATTTGACCCCAGTGCTCTTCCTGCCATGGCAGGGGGTCGGACTAGATGATCTGCTCAGGTCCCTTCCGACCCTAGAAACTATGAAACAAATTTCTCACACCCTCATCACTCCATTCACTGATTTCAAACATTGTTTTGACAAAATTCCTTTCCAGTGGGCGAATTGCCAGGGACAGATATTCTCTCAAGGCAGTGCCCGAGATACACATGGTACATAGTCATTGCCACAGCCCCACAATGTTCAGCACTCTGCCTCCCTGGGGTTTGCTTTAACACCCAGGCTATTCTCTAACAGGGGGCATATCTACATGTGCTGTTTAATGTGCATTAGCTCATTAGCTTATTTTAGCATTAAGGCACCACTTTGAAAAAGTGCACTTTTGCTAAGGCACATTAAAATAAGCTAATTAGCATTAAGCATCACTGAAAAACACTGTTCTTTAGTTAATGCATATTAAGACCGGCCAATGAGCCTTTTCCTAGTACCTCACAATGGAAGTACTAGATTCAATGCTCATTAACTACAGCATGTTAATGCACATGTACATGCACCCCCCTGACTGCTGTGCTTCATGCTGAGTTCAACCTTTCTTGGATGCTGTAGCAGTGCAGCAGGTAGGTCTTGTGGACAGCAACCTCTAAGGACTTAGGAAGGACTAAGTTGCCACTCTGCCTCCTTTTTACCCTGTTAAAAGAGCTAAGCTTTAGCTTCTGAATAGATGCAGACATGCCATGGTCCTCTGCATGTATTATTTTCATAGCAAATATGACCATGGTACCCCTGTGTCCATTCATAAGTCAAAGCTTAGCTACCTAAAAGATACTCATGACTTAAAAGCAGGTGCTGATTGCCTCAATGCACCTCATTGCTCTGCAGCCACTACCTCAGCCTCCTCTGAACTGACTTCTGGGGAAGGAGACCCGGCTCTAGGGGAAACTTGAGGGGTGTGGTGCAGACACTCAGCTGATTCCCTCTCGTTCCTCAGAATATCCCTTGCTAGGGCACTCAGATCCAGCTCCAGCTCTTCCTCTGGCACTGGAAGGCTCTGCATGGGAAGTGAAATGGGGATGGAGGAGACTATCATGCTGGTGCTGGTGCTGCTGCTTGTTGTCATCATGGTGGTGGTGGGGGGCGCATTTTGGCTGGTGCTCTTGGAGGGGATGGAGTCTCAGGCATAGGCCATGGCAATGGTACTGCTCCCCTCTCCTTGCTGTGTCTGGAAGCCTCATCCCTGTTAGGTGTAGGAAAGAGGCTGCATCTCAGGTTTTTTTGGGGGGGCGTGGGACTTACACCTCTCCCTCTACGCACTCTTCCACCCCTCCCTGAAGCCTGGCCAGCTGCCTTCACCCCACACATTATGGTATGTTCCACAGTGTCTTGTTTTTATAAAGATATATAATATATCTCCCTTCCTATATAAATTCTATAAGATATGTATATGCCGCAAGGTATAAATGTATAGAAATAAAATATAAATGCATCTCCCCTTCTATATAAATTCTATAGTGTAATATCCAATATAATTATAACATTGAAAGGAATAAATCAATAAATATAATAATAAAATAAAAGGGTCTAGAAGAAAGCAAAAAATATTGTGGAATCCCACTTGCTAGGCTAGCAAGTAGGAAATCATTCAAATCAATGATAGTAGTAGCCTTGGTTGTCTAACGCTCCTGAGCTGCTGGAAGATAGCTCAGTACCTGTCAGACCCCAAGGAACAAAGCAGGGCAGTTCAAACATTGCTTCCTTTTATACTGTTTTTCCATCCCTCCCCCAGAGCACTGGGATTGGAAGGGACCTCAGGGAAGGATGACAGTCACTGGCCAGCTACACAGTCAACATGAGAGGGGTCCTTCTCCACTCCCTCTCCTTGCTTTCTGTTTCCCTGAAGGCAAGCCCAGCTTCTGCCCTGCTTTCATTTCAAGACTGTTTTGAACCCTTTTGTTTTGTTTTGATTTTGTTATTTTGAGCTCAAAATGAGTTGAAACTGTGTCAAAACAAAACAGCCAGTGAAATTCCTCACAGCCCTACCCAGTATCTCTTGAGCATATATTGACAACATTTCATAGAAACAGGATGTTGGCTGATGTGATTCCCCTACTTTACCTGTGGCAGGTCTATGTTGTGTCAGAGTTGTCTTATGTAGAGCTTAGACTATGGCTTATCTAGGATGGTTCAGCTACGGATGATCCTGCCCCAGGAGCAGGGTTGGATTAGATGACTCCGGAGGTCCCTTCCAGCTCTGCTTCTCTATGATATTTTAAGTCAAAGTAATGCTCAAATCATGAAGGGAATAAAGCTGATAAGATGGAGTGGTTGGGAAAATAATGAGAGATGTAGCAAGGTGAGGCTGAGGGTCCGTGAGCAGGCTGGGATGGTGATGCTGAGTCAGACCAGATTCAAACAGAGAATCTGCAGCTTCAGTCCAGACAAGGAGCAGGCAAGTTGAGGTGGGGTGGAGAAGAGCAGGATGAAACACACTTCATTTTCATTGACTCAAAGTAGATCACCAGTGACTGGACTCTAGGAAATAGAGAGCATGGATATCAAACTGCTGCTAAGAGACAGATGAATGAGGGTTAATGCATATGAGATCCACAGACTTCTCTGATCTGTGTGTGCCTCTCTCCCAGCCAGGAAGTGGTATTTGCATTCATAACTCAAACTCTCTGTACCCATCAGCTGCACTGGGTCAAACTTAATGCTTGTTTGCACAGGGCTACTGCTTTGCATAGGGCCGTCCCAGTGACTGCACCCTGCTCTGGGGAGAAGCTATAAAGGGGCCGGTTTAACGCCTGGTGTCTCTCAGCTCTGTGTCAGTCGGTGCAGAAGCAGCAAGATGCTGTGGCAGATTCAGCTTTGGCTCCTTGTGCTCTGGGCTCAAGGTAAGAAGAACAGCAGAGGAGAGATTGGTGCATAATAGCAATGGGTAGAAAAAATGTGGTGATGCTTTTGGCATTATGTAGAAGGATGTCCCTCCCCTACCTCCCCCTACCGCCTCCCTGTACATAATAGTTCTTAATAATTCCTTCCAGAATTTCAGGAGCCCAAGGACATGGAAAGTTTTATTAAAAAAAAAAAAAAGTGTGGGGGGGAGAGGGTTGCTTCCCTTTGCTAGCCATCACTGTATTTGATTTATATCATGTTCTTCATCTGCGTTATTTTCCCCCTGCAGGATCCAGTGGGGACATCTTTGTGACTCAGAGTCCAGAATCCCTAACAGTGTCTCCAGGAGACACAGTCACCATCAAGTGCAAAACCAGTTCTAGCGTTGGCAGGGACATGAACTTCTACCAGCAGAAACCAGGACAACCCCCAATGCTTCTTCTCCATGACACAAACAAAGGCCCTTCTGGGATCCTAGATCAGTTCAGTGGCAGTGGGTCTGGCATTGACTTCACTTTTACCATCAGCCGGATGCAAGTTGGAGATTCTGGAGATTATTACTGTCAGCAGCATCAGAGCTCCCCGCTCACAGTGCTACAGCCCCGTACAAAAACCTCCCTGCTCTGCTCAGTCCTGCTGCTCCCGGCACCAGCTGCTTCCTGCACGGTCACAGGCCAGTGGCTCTGCTGACCTGGTGCAGCAGGGCCAGGTGATGATCACATTTATACACTGCACTCACACTCAGTCAGAAATCTCCATGGTGATTTCATTGATGGCACAGACAGTGATTCTTTACATGGCATTCAGCTGTCTCCCTTGTGCTTGTGAGAGTCCTTTTGCTTCAAATGAACACTGAAATCTATCTATCTATCTATCCATCTATCTATCTATCTATCATTATGAATTCACATAACATGTTGCAAATTAGAACCTGGGACCAGTGGTTGGGGGATTATCCTTTCTCTTTGGAAACCCAACCTCAAGTCCTTCGTCTCCCATTGACATTGACCTTGACTTGCCTTGATGTCACTTTCAACCACATAAGCTCATTTTTGGCACTTCTGCCCACTTGGGCTTTTCCTTGCCCAGAGGTTGCTCTTACCCTGTGCTTCCCCATGGGGCATGCTCAGAAAGCCGCATGATGAAAGCTTTGGCTCTGGTGAAGGGTTTAGACCAAAGGCAGATCCAGGATTTCCTAATGAGGGGTGCAGGAGCATCCACCTGCATTGCTCCCAGCCACCTCAATTCCTAGCAGTGTGAGCAGACTTTATTTAAGTCCCTAAAGCAAGGGTCACCACTCCCTTCTCCCTCCTGCTCAGAGGCAGCCCCCTCCCCACATCCCTGATGCTTTCTCCAGTGCTCTGTGGTAGGGAAGTTCAGGAGTGGGCCAGGCTGAGCAGTGGCTGGCTCAACTGGTGAAGGGACCATTTGGAGGGAGAGTAGTTCCCCCAACCCAGCTGAGTACTGGAGCAGGCATAGGGGAGGGGGACTCCCATACATCTTTGATGCCATTGTCCTGTCCTCAGCTGAGCCCAGCTCCTGACAGTGGGCGGGAAGGGCTGTGGTGTTTCCTCACTGTGGGATCATCCAGGAAGGTAGGGCAGGGGAAGAGGGCAGGATCAGAGATGGAGTCTGCAGCAAAATGTCACTCAGTTCCCTTTTTTTTTTCCCGGGGCAAACTTGTCCTCATAAGAAAAATGACATCCATCACAAGGCAGGCACTTAAGCAAACAACCATACAATCAACAAAGTAGGTAACTCACAGCTATGGTCCTTTCTAGGATCTGGAGAGTGGATACTGCAGCCTGATGCTACCTCCTCCACACCACCCTCTTCCCTCTCTCCCCCAGATCCCCTCCCTTGGAGTTTTTAACCTGCTCTGGGATGGGGAATCATCCCTGTCAGCTGGCCCCTGTCTCCCTGAGCTGGGAGGTGATTGCTCATTAACCCCCTGTGACTTGGCTCCCACTCAGAGCTAGGCACCTGGTTAGAGGGCTGTGCCTTTGAGCAGGAAGAGGAAGAGAGGGAGAATGATCACCTGCTTTAAGGAGTTTAAAAGTTCCCAGATGCTCCCAGGGTTCACTACAATCCAAAGGGTGGAGAAGGCATGCCACTGCACCCCTTCTGAATCCACTCCATGTTTACACCAAGGGTGTCAAACTTACCTGGCCATGTGAACTGGGTGAATGTCACTGGTCCAGGCATGCCTGGGGTTCAGTCCACAAGGCAGCATGCAGCATGTACCCCAGGCCCCTGCACTGTGTGCATCAATGTCTCCAGCCACTGCTGGATCATGACCCCAAGCAAGTAGCAAGCTTGGATCCCTGCAGTCCTCTGGCTGGGCCATGTTCAGGTGACAGGTGATCCCAGCCTCTGGAGTGCACTGAAGCCTTGAAGAAGTGTTGAGTGATCTGGAGGCTGGGAGCACTGGCGACATGTTCAATGAAAGGCATGATGGGAACCAGCCACAAAGTTGTTATGAACATTCTGTGAAGTAATACCGCTCCTTATTCCTCGGTTTATCACGCCATCAACTATTTGAACGTGTGGCCAGAGCAGAACTTAAGATGTAGTTAAGCAGTTAATTGCATTGTCACTGTAACCCCAGTCACAGGCTTCAGTGTGAGGGGCTAGAACAGGCAGCCCAGCCTGGGATCTTTGCTTGGGGGGGCCCAAGCCTTCCTGGGACTCTGACTGGCAGCCTCACCCCAGCGGCGGAGTCCACCTGGCCCCTGGCCATACCTCCTGCCTGGTGCTGGGGAGCGCACCCTGCCCATCTGGCTCCAGCTATGGCAGCAGACTCCAGGCCAGGCAGCAGTTCCCCAGAGGGTCTGCTCTAGCAGCCTCTCTGATCCCGTGCTCTCCACAGTCATTCTGCTCCCAGACTCTGGGTTCTGGATTTTCCCTTGGGTTTGGTACTTCAACCTCTGACACCTGAACTTTGACTTGGCTTGTGATACAGATCCTACCCCTGGTTCTTGTTACTTGGTATATGTTTTGTGATCCATGCTTGGCCTGTGTTTTGGACACTAGCAGGTGGCAATGGGCCAGGGCTTGCCAGGCACTGAGCTGTGCATGTATGTACAAGGGCAGGGAGTGCTATGGGATCACTCTGCTTCCCAGACACAGGGGGATGCTCAGGTTTCCTTTTCCTGACACAGCCTCCAACCTCCAACACACCAGGCCTCCTCTCTCCTCACCCTTGTCTGGTCCCCTTGGGCACCTGTCCTGAGCTCAGGGGCAAATAACAGTCTCTGGGGCTTGAGCATTACCTGCACAAAGGGACAGAGAAAAAGCTGTAACTGGTCTCTGGGCTCCTATATACGACTGTGCGGAGAAGGGCTGCTTAGACCTTATGAAAATCCTGCAAGAACATGAGGATTATTTCTATCATACAAACACAGCATGAGAGTAACACATAGGCATTCGCATGCCAAACTGCATCACCAGTACTGGGGTGCAGTAAATTTACACGAAGTAAATTTGCATGCAATGTGCATCTCCCCACTTCGCTGGCTTGGTCTCTTGGTTCTGCTGAGAACCTATAAATGTTTTGTTGTCCACTAATGGGTAACGGAGAGACGACTCCCACCAGGCTCAAGCAGGATGTCCTCCCCTGCTACAGTCCTCTTCCTCCTCATGGTCTGGATTCATGGTAAGCAAGAAAACAAAGATTGTGAAACCCTCGGCCAATGGTTATTTAAGGGTCTGCACTGGAGCTGAGCAAGTTCACAGTTGGAAATACAGACTGTTTCTCAGGGTGTGAATGCTTCCATTATTATTGTATCCTGTTCACTACAAACTCATTTACTATTTCTAGACTCCTCTGGGCTAGTTGTGCTGACTCAGTCACCAGAGTCCCTCTCGGTCCCTATGGGAGGAAGAGTGTCTATCACCTGCAAAGCCAGTGCCAGCATTAGCACTTGCCTGAACTGGTACCAGCAGAAACCTGGACAAGTTCCCAAGCTCCCAGTCTACTACACCAACAGCCTCCCATCTGGGGTCCCTGCCCAGTTCAGTGGCAGTGGGTCAGGCATGCATTTCACCTTCACAATCCACAGTGTTGAAGCCGATGATGCTGCAGATTACTACTGTCAGCAGTGTAACCAACGGCCTCCCACAGTGACACAGCCCAGCACAAAAACCTCCCTGCTGCCTTCAGCTCTGTTACTATTGGTGCTGCTTGCAGCTGTTTCATGTTCAGATCTGTTTTGCCCAACAGGAAACATCTGAACTCTTGCTGTTAAAGCAGAATTCACAGAGGATGGTTCAGCTGAGCAATGAAAGCACTTACACACATCCAGGGAGTCTGCTCCAACATGCTGGAAATCCACCACATCAGAGCAGACCCTGAGATGCTCAAATAAACAGAGTCTCAAAGTCCCATACAGCTTCTCCCTGCTTTATCCCTCCCTGTGTGCTGGTGCATCAGGCACACTGATTGCCCTTTTGGTTTCATAATTTCATAGTTTGAAGGGTCGAAAGGGACCTGAGCAGATTATCAAGTCCAACCCCCTGCCATGGCAGGAAAGAGTACTGGGGTCAAATGACTCCAGCAAGGTATTCATCTAGCCTTCTCTTAAAGACCCCCAGGGTAGGAGCCAGCACCACTTCTCTTGGAAGTTGGTTCCAGACCCTAGCCTCCCTGACCGTGAAGTCGCGCCTCCTGATATATATCCTAAATCTACCTTTTGCCATCTTGTGACCGTTATTCCTGGTCACTCCTGATAGTGCCTCCTGATAGAACAGGGACTTCCCTAGTGCCTGCTGGTCCTCCCTGACTAGTTTGTAACAGGCCACAAGATCACCCTTCAGCCTTTTCTTTTGGAGGCCGAACAGGTTCAGGTCCCATAGCATCTCCTTGTGGGGCCTGCCCTGCTGCCTCCTGATCATGCGAGTGGCCCTCCTCCAGACCCTCTCCATGTTGTCCACATCCCTCTTGAAGTGCGGTGCCCAGAACTGGATGCAGTACTCCAGCTGCGGCCTGACCAGTGCCGCATAGAGGGGGAGGATCATCGCCTTGGACCTGCTTGAGATGCATCTGTGGACGCATGAAAATGTGCTGTTGGCCTTCCTGACTGCATCCCCACACTGCTGGCCCATGTT